ATGATATCAATCACTTGCCTTATAAACTTTAAACTTGACTAATGATTTAATTATAAGGAAGAGCATAAAAAATTTAACGCGTGACGTCTATTAAAACATGTAATAAATTAGTAAAAAAAAGTGTGTTTGAACATTGAAAAAAATTATTTTTCTAAATTTGGTCTGTTTGTGCATGCTAATCTCAGGAAATAATGGACGGATTTTGATGAGACTGTTTATAATATAGGTATTAAGCCTGGATTCAGCCGGGGTTGCGGGGTAAGCGCAATGAGCCACCGCGACCTCGGCCCAGAGCAGGAGAAAGAACAGGGGGGTTTTTAGTCAGTAAGAGTCTGACACTCCCTCCCGCCCGGCCCTGGGCAGGAGAAGTCATTTGATGATTTTCCCCTCACAAAAAAAAGCCTGGATAGCGGTAGAGAGTAGCATGAAAATTGGTAAAACAAATCAGCCTAAAGTCAACATTCTTCGTGGACGCGGTTAATAGCAGAGACTAGACAGAAATAAATCAATTCATGTCAATACCAAAATTACTTCAATAGCATTTTTTTTCTACAAATCCAAAATGATCTGTGAATCGTTTCCAAAGCCCCAGAATAAGTCCACAAGACTATAAAGTGTCTCATTGAAACGCAAATTGGATTCGACGTCGAAGCAAGTGTCCCTTTTCCTGAGATTTGCATAAGAAACTCGTGTAGTTACGTCAGCGGCTCACTTTCATCACTGACAACCCTTGTGGGGACAGTGTTGCTCAAATATACCTGCTTTATGTGTGGTAGGTCCACAACTTTGAGTTCTTTTTCATCCAGATGACTTATAACGTTTTCATCGCAAACTAGTCACTTCCTAGGTTTCAGTTGCTCAGGACCTATTGATCGTAAGATAATGTTTTATAACCTATAACCTATAACCTTCTTAAAAAAAAAGACTAAATAAAACAAAAAGAATTGTTAATATGGAATTAGTAGTATCGGAGATAAGCGCGTTTCGCCGTGTGAGTGAGGTTACCGGATCACCTCAATCCCTAAATCGCCGGAATCCTAAAAGGCAGGCAATGCATAACTTCTCAGGTATCGATAGGCGGTGCCGCTACCTATTACTTACCCTCAAGTAATCCGTCTACTTATTTGCCGACCATTATCATAAAATATCCTATAACCTATTATAATTGACTAGCTACTATCACGCGGTTTCACCCGCTGCTCGGCTCCAAATGATTGTAGCGTGTTTTATAGCACTCAGGAACATTGTAGCTATCTATCAGTGAAAGAATTTTGGCAATCCGACCAGCGGATCCAAAGATTACCCCCTACATACAAACTTACTAACTTACAAATTTTACCTCTTTATATTATAAGTATAGAAAAGAAAAGGAAGAATACGTTAGACAATTCAGTTTTATTAGTGAATCTACTGTTTAAATGGTAAACCTCAGTACCTACCGGGTTTCTGTCATTAATATTTATAACTTAATGCTAATGTACAACACAATTTATAACTTAAAAGTACATAATTCAGCACTTAAGGCTTTTATATTTTGTTCTTCATCTCATTGTTCTCAACCGGCATCCGTTACTTTTTATTATAAAATTACTTTTGTTCAAAACTTTTTTCTTATTTTTAGATACTTACGAAGTTTTGTGTAATATAAGAGAAAGATTTTTAGTGAGCTTTTCTTTAATGAAGGCTCTTAAAAATACTGGATTTAATGCAACAACTCAAATATTTTATTCTTACTTTATAAAATTTATAAAAAATTACGATTTTACTGGGGTTACGAACGGGAAAGGATAACATCTAATTGACTCTTTCAGACTTAACTTGTACTAAGTGTCAGGGTATAATAATGTAAACTTTCAGATTATAGTATATTGAGGATAAGAATGCCTGGCAGCATGTTGGTTCGGCTCCACTGGACAATACTCAAATATGTAGTCAGTAGTTATTAATATTCTCAAAATTAATGAAACCTTGAGTGAGTTTATAAATATAGAAGCATTCTTTTGGATTGTGAGTACGCATATATGTGAGCGCCATGTTCGAGACAACAAAGGATTAAAATTTTAATGATAGATTAGACAGACCATCATTTGTTCCTTTTTATTAACAACTTGTCTCTGCATTTGATTGTTCTCACATAGGGGTAATGTAAAAAAAAATGTATTATTGGTGAATTGTAAAACAATTTTTTTTTAAAAGAGTAACGATGGAGTTTCTTGCTCGTTCTTTTCTATTCGAAACTACAATTTGGAACGAGCACCTAGCTTCACTGACGAACAGACTGATGACAGACTGCTATTCTATATTGACGTTTCAAAAGTACCTATTTATGGTTTAGTTGGAATAAATTATTTTGATTTGATTTGGTAATGAGTGATTAATACTGGAGACTCCGTCCAGGGTGGCAGGTTAAGCACAGTGACATAGGTACTTTTTTTTTGACATCTAAGGCAATGTTTTTCAATCCATGTAGGTATTCTACCCCAAGGTCTTCGTGTATTTATACAAAAACTGTGGTAACTTTTTTTTAATGGTATCATTCAAATTCACTTTTGGAATAAACAAATGTAGGTAATTTGTTTTGATAACTACTTTGATCAGTTTTAGTTTGGATAAAAAATTATTTCCAAGGAAAGGCTAAGATAGGGCCTTAAGAAAGAGCTGTCAGAGATAGTTAAGTTCATTTGCTGTGGTGTTATATAAATAATATATCCATATAGCTTCAATTTTATACCTTACCTAAGGTTTATGATAAACCTTTACGGCCTTATCATAAAGGTTTTCCTTCAGTGCAGGTCTAAAACATTAAGCCAGTTTTTGCATTTGGAATTGAGAATATGATTCTAAATACAAAACCTGACTCAATGGACTAAAGATAAGTTGTGTTTTGTAATATATAAAAGTTAAAAACTTTGAGATACGTTGTGTGTAACAAATGAACAGCTTATTCTAGACATTTACTGAAAATCTGCGATTTGAGTTTCAGTTAGAAAAATAGTGACACACATTTATAATTATATCCATTTATAAATCCAAAGCTCAGTTAATAATATATATTTAATAGACTGGTAAACAGTTTATTCTAAAAAGGTTTTATTATTTAATAGTAGTTGGGGTGCTATCCATCGCCGGATAGATGAGGCCAGGTTAATGCGAATAAAATGTATACCTTTTAAAATTAGTCTAAATTGACAGTTCTGTAGTTGTTCTAATTACAAATGATGAAATTAATCTGAAAAATTTTGTCAATCAAATTTTGAACTTGAAAATCGCCATCTTGCTAATCCTCTCTTTCTCCGTCTAACACTTCTTCGTTCCTTTCATATATTTCACATTATGATGCATAAAACTTCTTATAAATAAAATCATTGTTTCACAATGTTAGTTACCTTACTCCTCCGAAACGGCTTTTCCGATTCGCCTACAGCTATTTTAAATACCCCTAAGTGATAAGGGTTATTCACGCTCAACATTTTTTATTCGCAATTATTCATATGGCAAAACAACGTTCGGCGGGTCAGCTAGTAGGTACATAATTATGGATTATCCAGAAACCTGGCTTAATCGCCAATAAATCACGTGATGAAAGTAACAGGCGATGTCCAGAGGGCCTACCATGACGTGTTAAAGCGTCAGTCTTTCTCGCGAGAAAGAGGGATGGAGCTATAAAAGGTGTATATTCGTTTTTTAACACGTCATGGTAGGACTACTGATCTATACTGCGGATTTTTTCAAACTATCATACTTTCTTGGGTACAATACATCGGATAAAGGAAAATAAATAATACGAAAATAAATTATCTAACATTTTCTTTTATATTTCATTTTCTACAATTGTATATACATTATAGTTTCTTACATTTAAACGCAGTCCTCATTCAATAATATAAAACAAGTAATACTGTCAAACATCACAATATACTTTTAATATTTTCAATAACTTTTTAGGAAATATTTTTTTCTAGTATTCAATAATAATATTAAATTTAGAATAAATATTCAGTATTTAATATTTGCCAAAAACATTACTAATTTTACTATATTTAAGTACTTAAATTATAAAAACAATTACATAAATATAGGTATAGATATTACATTATATTATTAAATAATCATTACATTTTTCAAACTGTACCTAACATCTAAAATCATAAATAAACAAAATTAATCTTAAAGTTACAGAGTGATTAATTTAACCACTCTTATAATATAAATTTTCTATAATTATAATTAAATTTAATATAAAACTATTTTTAATATTATTATTTACATTTACATTACATGCTATTATCACAAGGATATAAAATTCGATTTTCCATACGTTCTCTCGTACGAGTAACTATCGCTCAATTATAAAAATCATCATCATCATCAAAATCATCATCATCATTAGCCGTAAGACATCCACTAGTGAACAAAGGCCTCCCCCTTAGTCCTCAACGTCGAACGACAAGTTGCCACCTGCATTCATTGGCTCCCCGCGACTCTGACGATGTCGTCGGTCCACCTAGCGGGAGACCTGCCCAGTTTTTTCTGATTAGTGACTGAATTTCTTGTTCGTTTTAAAATTAGTATTATATTACAAACGATTAATTGACATGTTGGAGTATCTTATAAACTATAATTATAATTAAATTCTATTTACATTAATAATAATTAACAGTTATTTAATGATTGAGATTTCTCGTAATCATAGTATTATCATATCATTAAATGAAGAATAATTAATGTATCTAATAAAATATAACATGCATGGCAAGATACAAGGCACGCAATATTTAAATACTAATAATGATATTTAAATAAGTATGTATTTTTGATATTAATTTTCGCTCAAAATAAATATCAAATATAATTTGATCTTCTACTTACACTATTAAATGCCTAACGCCTACAGCCTGTATCGTTGTGTCGATTTATAATTTAAAATATGCGGGTTTTAGTCAGTAAGAGTCTGAAACTACCTCTCGTTAGGAATACGGTTGATGATTTTCTTGTCTCAAAAAAAAGGTGTAAGAGGCAAAGGCCTTTTAGAAATTCATATCGCTTCTTTAATAAAGAACTTGTTGTATTCAAATTCAATGAGACGACTGGCATTGATTATCGAGGCATTCTAGTCTTTAACTCGTATTATATAAGAGTACATCAAAAATCTTTGCTACAAAATTATCCAACACGATTTTATAAGACTCCATTAACAATAAATATCACTCTTTTCCATTCAAAAAATCAACATAACTACAAAAATCACTCTTATTACCACATTTAAACAATCCATTTTAAAACTAAAATGGCACTCACATGCTCTTTGAAATAGGACCTTTTTAATCTAATGGCAGGAATCACAATCGTGTTCTTACAAGCGAAGGCGTTGGAGATTTTCTCACATCATAAACATCAAATAATCTACTTCCAGTTGTAACAAATACCCCTGCTTTCTGATCTACTGGCTCATTTGGTGTTGAATCAGTTACTGTCTCTTCAGTCTTCTCAGAAGACTCTTTTTCCCCTTCTTTTTCATCAGGAATGGCTGGTTTTTCTGTGCTGTAGAATCTCTTCGGTCCTGGGAGCTTCTTTGCGAGTTTTGCCACCACTGGGTGTAGAAGACGTTCATCAAAGGCGTCTTTCTCGCTGCCTGTTAGTAGGCCGATGATATTACCTAGTATAACGCAGATTAAGGTACCAATGACCGCGTACCACATGTAGGATATTGAGTAGAACTTCTGTAGTCCAGTTACTCTGTAAAAAGAAAAGAATCACTATAGCCATAACCAAGTAACATACATTAATGAATGTGTATAACAGGCTATGCTGTTGATTTTACTGCGAAGAAGTGTATACGTTTTATACATTTTTATGAGCATTTTTTGTTTTTTAGGTAGCAATCATTAGTGACAAATTAGGCTCAACCGGAGTGATACTACAACCTCACTGAAAACGCCGCATGAGTAAAGTAAGTTTTAGGTGGACGTCATATTGAAACTCTTACACTATACCTCCTTGAAAGAGAGGTTACGCACTTGTAAACTCTACTAATGCTAATTGCTTTCCATCAGGCAATGCGCTTGTTCATCTGCCTCACTATCCAATAAGGTACAAAATAAAAAAATAATTCTTTGAAAAATTCCGCCCTGTCATCCTACTCCATATTTTGTAAGGGTCTATTATCCATAATAGATTGATAATTCACTCTTCCTTGTAATCAAAAACTCTTTGAACAAAAGTTATACTTACATAGGAGATTCAGTCGGTATAGGATGAGACATGTTGATGGACTGTAGTAATGGTGCTAGATGTGCTAGAGTTACGTTGACTTCAACTGGTAAAGCTTGGTGGGTCAGTATCGACTGTGTTGCATTTGGACATTGCTGAAAAAAGAAAATTACAATTTTAATTTAAATTCTCACATATTTCAATTCTTAACCAGAGAGCCCTGCTCCTCAAAGGGTGTCTTGAAAGCTAATTTTCACAATAGTTGAGTTACTTCATAAAATTGAAAAAATATTTTAATACTGTCGTAAACGTTATTTAAAATCTTCAACAATTTAATAAAAAACCCATGAACGAATACGTTAATGTTATTATTAACGGTATTAATTAAAGATTGTATTGTAAGTAGTAATCACGGAAATCAAAGGTGGTATTTCCATTACTATTTATGTACAGTGAACAAACATATCTCTTAAAATTGTTACGTAATAGGATTAGAACCAACTAATTACAGAACAAAAGTAATGAAGATAAAACTAACCTCAGTAGACATAGGCAACATAGCGACTCCTTTATCAACATACAAAAGCCTGCAAGCTGCCATCCAAGTCGTTACTATGTGAGATGCAATCATGCCCCATAGTGCTCCTTTCCCATTAGCAATAGGACAGAGCGCAGCCAATATAAACACTCCTAATAAAGCCCCTGAGGTAGCTGAAGTGACTAATTGTGATCCTTCGACGACTCCTCCCACGATGCCGACACAAAGTGATAAACACATGATGATGAGAGCTGAAAATACAAAAATAACATATTAGTCATTCATTTTTGGGACAACTGGTAAGGTTAGGTTAGGTAGTAAGTGTGGGAAAGTCATTCTTCGGCACAAATAAACAGTTCAAGCTGAGTGAAAGGTTTGCGTTCGGTTTCGCTGATTTTGAGAATCGAGATAATTGGAATTGCATCGTGAGCAGGACATATATATAACTTCTTAAGTACTAAAACACATCATTAGCTTAATAAGTGCCCACTGCTGAGCAAAGGCCTTTTCTCACATGGAAGAAGGTTTCAGTACTTAAAAACTTTTTCAAATTGACAATGTTCTTAATATAAAAGTACAAAGATCAATTAGGTATTTAATAGTAAAAAATCTTACAAATTAGAAAAAAAGCATCGAATAAGCTTACCATAAATAATTCCAATAATTTTGATGACAGTCAGCTGTTGTTTATCAGTTATACCCTTGAAAGCGGGAGCGAAGGACACGAAATCTTCCCAGGTCACCGTGGATAGAGAGTTAACATTTGATACCAGGAAACTGTAAAAAAATAACGATTTCTAGAATTTAGAACTAGATAAGGAATATAAAAGTATAAATAAAGAAAAGAAAAAAGGATACACTCCAGTATTTGAAAGAAAGAAATACTATTGAGTAAGACAGTTAATCTTCCTTTTCCTGAACTTAAACATTTTATCATTAAAACCGAAATGCAAATGTGGTAGCATTTCTTTTCAATCATGCCCTTTGCTTTTGGTGACACCCAAAATCTTATATACAGTAAAAAAATATAAAGGTGACCTCTTTGATCGCTAGATCCTTAAGGGTTCTTTTGCGAAGATATGGCGCGTCGGGCAATTCGTTGTACATTGCTCACAGGCAAGGAACCAGCTACCTAACAGACCACATATTCATAAGTGACGCCAAAATTAAATTATTTATTTTGAACTTTACAAGCATTGTATAAAGTCTGTCTCTCTGTCTTGTCTGTTCTCTCTGTCTGTCTGTCTTGTATCTATTTGCACAGTTGTCAGAAAACGTCTATAACAAACTAACCTTAAAGCTCCATTGAACAGACTGCCCAAAAATAGTCCAAGCATTCCAGGTAAAAATCCGAACTGGTCTTGGACGTAGAGAGGCAAAACTTCATCAGGAGCTGCGATTTTTCCCGAAGAAAGAGGATCGCAGTACTTGTACATAGCATACAAGGTCATGCCGACGACCCAAGAGAGACTGAATAAGACAGCTACAGCTGGTACGTTGGCGAATAGGGTTCTTCTGACCCTGGCTTCACTGGACATGGAGCAGTAACGCTGGACGAAGGTCTGCTGGCAGCCGTAGATGGACACAGACATGAATAGTTGACCAATGATCGCTGAGAGGGTGTCGACGCGGACGGTCGGGTCGCCTGTGAATCTGGAAGATGAAAATGTTTTGTTGAAATATCGATTTTAGGGAAATACACATTTACGAATTCCTGCATTTGTTGTGATGTGTAAAATATAATCCCCCACTAAATAAAATATTTTTTATTCAGGGAAAATTGTCAAATGCATTTCCTTTCCAGGGTGAGGCGAGAGGGGTAGTATCAGACTCTAGTCTACTGTCTAATAAGTTATAATTTAAGTAAATACATGAATATTTATGTAGGTATTGCTATACTTACTGGAAGAACTTCAGTCTTCCTCCGTCGATGTTGTCGCTGACCACTTGTTGTGGACCCCCAGCTGTAATCGTAGCCTGAATGATGAAGGCACCGCTCACCATTATCATTGTCAACGTCTGTATCACATCAGCTCTGAAAAAAGACAATACTTTGCATTAAAAAGAGCGCTTATTACTAAGGCATTAAAACATGATGATTTACGGAAACAATGTGTATTAAAACTGACACTGCACCTTGTCATATGTTTCCGTTTGCTTTTCTACAATATCAACAAATTACACACTGAAACGTTCCTCCAATTTCATTGTGTTAACGTATAAAAAATATATTAAATTGATGCAACGTGCTACAGTAGCAAATAGTCACTCAAAACGAGGGGCTTCACCTTGCAATAGGGTAATGTAGAGATAAAGCAAGTAAGTGAAAAAATCTGAAAACAAAATTTACCTGATAGCTGCAGCCAATCCTCCAAGCAGGTTGAAAACAATACCAACAATAGTCAGTGCTGCAGCTGACGCCCAGTGAGGTAATGCAAGAACAGCATGGAGAGCCACTGTAGGCGTGTATACTGTCACCGATAGATTTAGAACTTGTCGTAGAAGGAACGTTGCAGCTGCCATCCGCCGTACCCATCGAGATCCGAACCGCATCTGCAATTGAGTAAAGATGAAGTTAGAATTGAAAAAAATAAAATTGTTACACGAAATGTTTACAATATTGACCTTTAACATGGACTCTGTAATAGAAAAGCTAAAATAGTTGTTTTTGTTGGGACGTGTTTTTCATGAGACGCTATTAATGTTTTACCATAGGTAAATGAGAGAAGAGCCATTTTCTTATATTCATATGAGCAGTGACCAAGATGTGGATTGTTTGATTGTGTGAAAGACGTGAGAAGATTACTACTACTACTACTAGCTTACTATTACTATTACGACTAACACGTTTTTCATTTCAAAGGAAGACAAAAAACAAGAGTAACTTACTTGTAAATACTCGTACACGGAGTTTGTATGTAGTCTGTAATACACCGGTACGAAGACCCAACAGACGATGGGAAAGGCGAGGATGATGCCGTACAGAGTCTCCCACATTGCCGAGCCATAGTACACCAACTCCGATGGGAACCCTGAAACGATTAAAAACTTGGTGTAAGTGTACAATTTCTATATAAAACATGTCAATTTGCAGTCTTTTTGGGGGATTTAAAATGTACAGCTAAACTAGTTTTTTTTTTTCAAATCTGTTTGTATGTTATATTTTCATCTTCGGTCTGATAGAACATCCTCTTAAGACCTTTTCCAACGTAGGGAATGAATATGACCTTGACTGCATTACTTTTGATGTCATAAATCATTTAATTTCTATTCCAAGCAATTGACTTATCTGGAAAATTTTCTAGTTCATCGAATGAATTCGTGTTCTTGTGTCGTTATTTTTCGATATTAGCAATTCAGGCAATTTCACTGAGTAAATAGTTTACTCAGAATAAATATTTTTAGTACATGAACAAAGTGTTAGTAATTAGTGTATTTTGGCGCGTTTTCAAAAATAATTGTTTGGTTACAATAGTCATGTGGTCTCCAAAATAAACTGAAATAAAAGATCTGACATTGGGGATTGCCCATTTAATGTTTTTGCACAAAAGCATTCCCGATATGAGTCACGTGATTGATTTAGCGAATTAATTTTAAAGAAAGCTCTTTGCTGATGTTTTCATTCGGAGAAATTGAAATCTTTCCTTATTCAGAAATCGAGAAATTCTATAGAGGAAAATAACAATTCGTTCGAAAAACTAAATAATTGCATACGCTCTAGAATTTCACTCAGATTCAAATAGGAACAGTTTTTAGTGTAGCTAACCGAAGCTGAGCACACTTCGTCGATCTCTATGTTACCAAAAATAGTGTTTAAAGAAACAAATTTGTCTTAATTGATTGTACCTATTTAAGAAAACTAATGGTCAACATTATAGGTAATTTCAGTTCATTGCCACGATAATCACATAATCCTTAAGCCTTAATTGTTTGAAGGTTTTAGAAGCCCTTCAATGTTAGCACATTTTAGCACACACATCACGGTTTAGGCCACGTGGTTTAGCAGTTTTTATTTATATGGTAATAAAACCCCTACTTGTACTTGTTCTTTAACTGACCAATTATTCTACTTAGGTACAGCGAATACGGAGTGATTCCAAATGACAATAAAATAAAAATTAATGATATCATTATCCTTGACTTTAGATTTATTGGAGAATAACCTTTCTAACTTTTCACTCAAGAACTCATTTCGGTTGGCGCTAATGGCTAGTCTGGCAACTGGCTGCCACGCAACGTGTCGTTGGGCTCAATATTCAAACAGAAAAACATGTGATCCACATATTGTTGTTCCGGGTCTAAGTGTAATGTGTAAATGTGAAATTGTATTTTTGTAAACGCGTTGCCAAACACAGGAGGAAATCCTAGTTTAGGACAATGTTTTTAAGTAAACAAAAGCAATAGGGGAAAATTGACAGACGACCTATATGGGAACTGTTTAGAATAAAGCTGTAAGATGCAAAACTTATTTAAACGGTTGATCTAGAAGTTATTGGGACAAGCCTTATATGTGTGGGGAAAATCATCAAATGACTTGAGTAAGAGTGTCAGACTCTTACTGACTTAAAACCTCCCCGTTCCTTATGCTGCTCTAGGCCCAGGCCGCGGTGCTTTATTGCCTTTTCCCCCTCAACCCCGGCTGAACAGCAGCCCTATAGGACCTCGTTTGTGATGATTCTATTGGCATGAGACAAGCCTACGTTCATGAATATGAGCCCCTTGCACGACTTCAAACTAATCGAGTTACCTCGTCAAACAGTTACATGAGCAAGATTTTAAACATAATTAATTAAACTATACACAATTGCAATTAATTATTAGCTTCGCAATTATATAATGAAGCTATTTACAATTATCAAGATTAACATATTATTTAAATTAAGCATGAGTATGAGTAATACTAAATAATTCAGTGGATTTTTTATACAGCACGTACGTTTTGATAGCACAGACCTATGAGTCAGTATTGGTTATTCATGTACATTTTGCCAGACTTCGTGGCAAGGTAAATAATGAGACTGTAGATGGTTAAAGTCTGTTTATTACTTTAATTGCTGGTGCTTATATACTAAGAAGATGCGTGAGATTTTCAGATTTAGCTATCCTAACAAACGTGCAACAATTAACATGTATGTCTTATCTCTATCGTATCTAAGTAATGTAGCGACGTGATAGTGCCGCTACATATACTCCCCCCTTTTAAAAATAATTAACATATAAATTGAAAAAAATTAGTATGTACCTAATTATATAATAACTTAACCTTGCTGATAAATTACATCCTATGCGTAATGTAATGTCATTGTTGCTAATTCGAAGGAAATAAAAACTGCTGCCTTTGTTGTGACGGCGGCGGCCGTCGATGAACTATCCACTGCATTTGTGCTGATTGTTTCTTGCTATTGTTTTCACTCTTCTGTCTAAGGTCTTCAGTATTCCGTAGAGAAGAAGGATGCCAATTGTGATGAGGATTTGTCCAATTGCAATGTTTCTCGTCCACCGTAGCTCTTCCAGGACCAGACTTTTGAGATGGTCGGCTTCATTTTGATTAAGGCAACTGTCGGAGTTATATACGATTTGATCTTTGGAGCTTTGGTTGCCCATTGTTCTCTCGTAGATACTGACGGTATATGATGGTATTTTCAAAATACGGTGAGTATTTAAATGGACTGATTACTTGTGTCAGCAAGTGACGAATCGTACTGTCGGCTTAACCGCCCGTCCTGACTTCGTGATGTACGTGTTCCGCCCGTTGTGATTATTTTCTGAATTTGGCACGTTCGTTCCACTATTGAAGACAAATGCAGGTTTTAATCGGTCTATAGATATTGCTTTTTCATTGTCCCCAATTTTAATGATAAACGTCTTATCTATCCTCTTTGTCACTAGAAATGGTCCTTCGTATGGTGGTGTTAAACTTTTCCTTATTCTGTCACAGCGCACGAATACATGTGAGCATTTGTTGAGCTCGGGGTGAATGAAAACTGTTTGTTTAATTTTCTTGCGTTTTGATGTTGATGTCATACGAGAAATGTCCTTTTGTATATTTGTGACAAATTCTTCGTATGTCGAAGGCTGTGACGATTCAAAAAATTCTCCGGGAAGCCTTATAGGTGCGCCATATATCATCTCTGCTGCACTATATCCTGTGTCCTCGCGTACACAACTTCGTAATCCAAGTAGAACTGAAGCAATTTCGTTCATCCAATTAGCATTAGATTCTCTTGATATTAGCGCCGCTTTTAAAGTTCTATGAAATCTCTCTATCATTCCATTTGATTGTGGGTGATAAGGCGTTGTTCTAATTTTGTGTACTCCTAAAAATTGTGAAAGTGATTCAAATATTCTTGATTCAAATTGTCGACCTTGATCCGTAGTAATGCGTAATGGGCATCCGAATCTTGCTATCCATCCCTCATACAGTATGCGCGCTACTGTTTCGGCTGTGATATCTTTAACGGGAAATACTTCCGGCCAAGAAGTACAACGATCTATCATTGTAATTAAATATCGCTTTCCTTGAGAAACAGGTAACGGTCCAACAATATCGATGTGTAGATGTTCAAAACGTTGAGATGGCATAAAGTTCCCGACAGGTGATATAGTGTGGCGTTGCACTTTTGATTTTTGACAAGCTAGGCACGATTTACACCATTCATTTATATCTTTATTCATACTTGTCCATAAATATCTTTGAGTTATCATTTTCCTAGTAGCTCTCTTCCCAGGATGACTCAGTCCATGCATGACATTAAAAATTTGTCTCCGAAATTTTTCTGGTAAATAGGGGCGATTTTTTTCTGTAGATATGTCACAGGCGATGACTTCAGTAGAACCCGGAACCTTGATATTTGAAAATTTTAAATTCTTGTTATTACGAAGTCGTAATAATTCTTGGTCATCATGCTGACATCTTGCTAAATCAGCATAATTAATCGGTGATGGCACATCAATTTGTTCTATCCGTGACAATGCGTCTGCTACAATATTGTCACGTCCTTCTATATGTTGAATGTTGGTACAATATTGTGAAATAAAATCCAGTTGTCGTATTCGCCGTGGCGTATCATTAGATGACGGTTTTTGGGAAAATGCGTAAGTCAAAGGTCGATGATCTGTAAAGATAGTAAATTCTCTTCCTTCGACTAACCTTTGAAAATGTTTGACTGCCATATATATTCCGAGCAACTCTCTGTCGAATGTCGAGTATTTTTGTTGAGTATCACTTAATTTCTTTGAAAAGAATCCTAATGGTTCCCAATTACGTCCTGACTTCTGCTGCAGAACTGCGCCAACACAGGTCGAACTGGCGTCCGTCATAAGTGCCAAAGGGGCGGTGCGAGAGGGGTGAACTGTTAATACTGCGTTCATTATATTTTCCTTGCATTTATCAAAAGCTTTTTCGGCCTCTGTTGTCCAAGAAATTGGAGAATTATCATTCTTTTTAGAGTCGTGCAGGTAGTTGTTTAAGATAGTTTGATATTCAGCGGCATGAGGGAGATTGTTTCTGTAAAAGTTGATCATTCCTAAAAATCTTCTTAGCTCCTTGATTGTCGTAGGTTTAGGAAATTCCATAATTGCTTTGTACTTTTCCTCCGTTGGTCGTATTCCTCGACGTGTTGTATGATAACCCAGAAAATCTATTTCACTCTTAAGAAAGTCACATTTTTCGAGATTAATTGTTAATCCATTTTCATGTAAACGTTTGAAAACCGTATCCAAATGTTGATAATGTAGAGCCTCGTTTTCAGATGCTATAAGACAATCGTCGACGAATATGAATACGAAATCCAAATCCCTGAATAGCGAGTCCATGAATCGTTGGAATGTTTGCGCCGCATTACGTAAACCGAAAGGCATTTTTGGAAATTCGAAAAGTCCAAAAGGAGTGATAATAGCAGTTTTTTCCACATTTTCTACAGGAATGCAGTGGTACGCCTTTCGAATATCAATTTTGGAAAAGATTTGCTTCCCTTCTAGTATGTAAGTGAAATCAGTTAGTCGTGGAAGTGGATATTTGTCCGGTACAGTC